CACCTACACTGGACGGAGCAGGTATAAACACTGATGCACCTGCACTGGATGGAGCAGGTGTAAACACTGAGGCACCTACACTGGACGGAGCAGGTGTAAACACTGAGGCACCTACACTGAATGGAGCAGGTATAAACACTGATGCACCTGCATTGGATGGAGCAGGTATAAACACTGATGCACCTGCACTGGACGGAGCAGGTGTAAACACTGATGCACCGGCACTGAGCAGAGCAGGTATAAACACTGACGCACCTGTGTTGAGCAGAGCAGGTGTAAACACTGATGCACCTGCATTGGGCAGAGCAGGTATAAATACCAACACACCTGCATTGAGCAGTACTTTGACACAGTCCAGATGCTCCCGGGCACAGGCAACATGCAGTGGGGTCCCAAAATGACAATCGTGCGCTTCCAGATTGGCCCCAAGGTCAATAAGAAGCCTCACACATTCGGAACTTCCTGAAAAGAAATGGAAAAGGATGAAGACTATCAATGAGCATAAGCATTTGAAATAACAAGCAAGACTGAAGCAGCAGCTAGAACAGGTAAGCCCCATGCTCAGTTGTAGGGGGAGGAGGGAACCAGGACTACATCCCAGGCTAAGAGCAGTTTGTGACCCCTCATGGCCCTAGGGAGCACGGGGCTAGTTGACCTTTCTCTTGAGAGCCCAACGGTTCTCTAAGCCTACCTGGCAGCGGGAGAAAGGGAGGGCACAGCTGGCCCTCTTGCTGGGAGAATAAAAACTTGGGGAACACCACCTCTTAACAGCCAGAGAAGATTCTCCTCGCTGCCTCCTGGCTCCTCAGTGGGAGAGAAGGTGCTCCCCATCTCCAGGCTGCCTCCTAAGCTGTGTGGGGAGCTCCGAGCTGGAGGTGATGACAGAAAGCTGCTGGCATCCTGGATGAGCGTCCCTAAACTTTCTTACCGGGTTCCCCGCCTGCCTCTTCCAGGCAGACGCCTTTCCTGCCTCTTCCCCTGGCTCCTCTCGAGTATCTTTAGCCCAGGTTTGGGTTGAGGTTCATTCTGTCCCACGCTCCATCCTCTCCCATCACTTCATCATGCTTCGTTGTTGGCAGCTACCAACTTGCCACCACTAGCCCTGAGACCCAGCCCCACCTCTACAGCTGTCTGCTGGCCATTCTCCTCGGGATGTCCTAACCACTACAAAGTCCCCTCCCTCCCCTCCCTGGGGGCACCTCTTCCTGGCCATCAGGCTCAGTCGTTGGCAGCACTCCCCGCTCAGCCCTGAGTCGGTGTTGACCCCATGCTCTCCTCCCTCTCATATCAAATCCCACTGATTCTCCCCCAGAGTTTCTAGATGAATCCACTCCACTTGGGCTCGAAGAGCTTTGCACTTGGATCACTGCGATGGCCCCCTCTCCACTTCCCCCCACCACTTTAGTCTATCTACTGAAGGGGAGCAGAGCATGCCACCCCAAAACATGCCACTTTGGAATAAGGATTATTTTGAGCTGAGGACAACTGAGAAGAAGCAGATAGAAGAAAAGCTCTCTACCCTCTCCTACTTGCCTAAAAGCAAGACATAATTTTGTAAAGGTGTCCCCTCCCCTCTCTACCAGGAAGGAAAGAAATTAATCAGCAGAGACAACTCTAGACCCTGACCAGCCCAGAGCCAGCACCAGAGGATTCTACACAACAAACCTCGCTAACTGGCTTTATCTCCCATTAGTCCCCCATATCTTTGCCTTCCCACAATTTGCCCCCCTAGAAACTCAGTCCTTTTCCTTCGTCTTGTCCTTTCTCTATAAAATTATTGTTCTTTGTTAAGATGCTCTGTAAGCCCAAGTTCTAACACCCCTCTGAGTCAGTCATCACTGAGTTCTCCCGCGTGTGAGCACGCTGCACACGTTAACAGACTTCTACTCGAGTTTCTCTTGCTAATCTGTCCTATGTCGGTCTAACTGGCAGGGCCCCAGGCAATGAATCTCAAATGGGTAAAGGAAAAAAAATTTTTCCCTCCTCTGCACTGTCCATGGATGGCCACTAAACCAACCTTTCAAAAATGTTTTCCTATCATTCAACATCTGCTCAAAAGCCTTAAGAGCTGCCTGTAGCAATTCCCAGTGCCTGCGGGTGACAAAGGATGGCCTAACTGGGAATCGGGCTGTGAAGCAGCAGAGAACAGTGGCCCTGGGTGGAGCCATGGAAGGGCACACCCCACACAGAGACCAACACCGTGCCCGCCAATCAAAATATAGGCCACACGTTTGCAACCTTTGCCCAAAGGAGTAGAATCCAAACCCCTTAGTCTGTCACTTAAAAAGTTTTCCACCAGCTGGTCTTGCCCTAAATTTAGTCCTATCTGTTGTAGCTCCTCTACTGGGAACTTCTGACCCAGTGAGACCAGGACAGCCTTCTGATTCTCCCACCATCTGGAATCAATCCATTCTTGGAGGGCAGTTGAAATCCCACCTGCTGTCTGAGCCTCCAGGCCCAGCACCCCCTCCTCTGAGAGCACCTGTCCTGGGGGATGTGTCTGGGTCTCGTCTCCCAACTAGATCAGGGCCCACAGGGCAAAACGGCAGCAAAGACCGAGTGAGTGGCTGGAGAGTGGACCAATCTCCAGTGTTGACATCTGAAAGGCACTGAGGGTCAGCCAAGAAATAAAATCCCATCATAGAAACAACAGCTCCCTCATCCTGGATGAGGACTGCATCTCTAGGAGGAAAAGATCAAGAGCCACATACAGAACAGGAGCTCTCCTTCGCCTGCTGATGGCTTCCACTTCCTGTCTCCACTGCTCCCTCCTGCCCAACTCACCGCTCATGCAGGCCTCGTGCAGTGGGGATGCGGTGTACAGGGGTGGGTTGACCTTGGCCCCGTAGGAGAGCAAGAGCTTCACACACTCGATGCTGCCCGAGGCGCAGGCATCACAGAGCGGGGTGCTGCCGTCGATGTTGCGGGCGTCCACCTTGTGGGGAAGAAGAAACCAGCGTCAGAGGGTGGGGGGGGACAATGCACACAACCTGCTTTCTCATCTCGATGCTCATTCATCTTTGCAGAGACACTTCTTAGTCTTTCAAAGAAGTTCTTAGGTTTTCTATTATGTGCTAAAGTGCCTGCCAGGCCAGGGAGTTCAAAAACAGAAGGGAACATGAGTTGGGGAGTGTCGACTAGCCTATACAGGAGTCACCCTGTTGGGGCTCTTTTCTCTCTCTGGGCAAGATCAACTCAGCCTCTCTCTCACCACCACCCCAAGCACCTAATAAGCACAGAGCAGGCAGAGAGATCCAGGGTACAAGCTGAGGGAGGCAGCGTATAAAAAAAATGGGTTTTAAAACTCCAACCGCAGCTAGGAGTGTCTGAACCAGCTTCACTTGCCTCCTCCAGTTGGAAAATCACAGGGCAGGCGGGGAAAAAGGCAACTCCCCAAACTGGCAGATCCTGCTTAGAATTTGCCCCAATTCAGCTCCTACGTGGGTACACACTGCAGCTTGTTCCAGGTCCTCCTGAATCACCTCCACAGCCAAGCTTTTGGAAAGAGTAAGTGGTGCACAGTCTTTGCTTCTTCCTCAACTCCTAAGCCCTGACACCAGAGCCTGCACTCTGGATACGCCGGCTATCCAGCTGTGTGCTGGCCGGCTCCTACCCACAGCCGACTGGTAAATATCCAGGAATCCCTCCAGCTGGATGCCGCTGGGGGCTGACCTCAGTGTGGTGTGAGTATTTACATCAGAGGAAGCAGCAAATCAGAATCTTGTTTTTGTTCCTTTTTACCTTTTTTCCAGAGAGCCAGTTTGCCAGCATCCTTAGTCATCCTGCTCTCTGAGACCAAACAGCAGCTCTTGAGCCAAGTCCCCACCAGCCCTCCTAGAGAGCCTGTGTCTGATGTGCACGGCCTGCCCCTGCCCACCTGGGAGCAGGGAGCTCCCTCCACCATCTTCCTAAAACTGCCTTCTCTTCGATCTCTAGTGACCTCCTGTTAGCCAAGTCCACAACCACACTTACTGGTCCTCAGTGTGCAGCTGGCATAGAGACCGCCCTCCCTCCTCCCTCGGCCTCCACCACACCCCATTCTGGTTTCCTCCTTCCTTTCCTTCTAAGCCTCCTGCGGTGGTTTCTTTCCTTTCCATGCTAATCCCAAGCCTCTTCTTTTCCTCCGAGCTGGCCCCGTCCATTCCCACAGCCACAATCCCAGTCTCAGGGGTCTGTCCTGAAGGGCGGCTCACCTGGGCCCCGGCGGCCAGCAGCAGCTGCACGCACTGCACCTGGCCCCGCAGACTGGCCACGTGCAGGGGCGTGATGGAGTCCACCGTGACCTGGTTGACGCAGGCGCCGCTCTCAATGAGCTGTTGCAGCTGCAAGGTCTCGCCCCGCTGGGCTGCCTCGTGCACGGGGGTGCGCTCCACCCAGAAACCTGGAAAGAAAAACAGACCTAGATCTAAGACCACGCCACTTCTATCAGGTCAAATGAACATACGGGCAACTCCAGGGACCCTTCACAAAACCCAAGACACTATATACGATCAGGTAATTGGTCCAAACACTCCTACTCAAAATCCTTGAGTGATGCCCACTGCCTGGAGAGTGGAATCCAACATCTTGGGCATGGTGTATAAGGGTCTTCGTGATCTGGACCTTGTTCACCTCTTTGACTCATCTCCCACCACAGCCCCCAAACAAACCCCACCCTCCCAGCACACTTGTAGCTCATCACTGCCCCCCACCATTTCACACCTGTGTCACTTTGCATATATTCTCTCTGCCTGAAATGCTCACCTCTGCCCCCACCCCAATCGTCCAGTCTGCAATCTCCTGTTGAGACATGACATCCTCCACATGGACCCATTTAAAATATCTCCTTCTTGGGCCGGCCCAGTGGCTTAGTGGTTAAGTGCGCGCGCTCTGCTGCTGGCGGCCCGGGTTCGGATCCCGGGCGCGCACCGACGTGCCGCTTCTACAGCCATGCTGAGGCTGCGTCCCACGTACAGCGACTAGAAGGATGTGCAGCTATGGCATACAACTATCTACTGGGGCTTTGGGGGAAAAAATAAAATTAAAAAAAAAAAATCTTCTCTGGGACACTTCTTCTACAAATACTTGTGTATACACATTCACAGCATTTCACTGTCCCGCTCCTTGCCTGGGAATGCCTTGAAAGTAGGGACTATGTTCTAATCATTCAATTTAGTGGATTCCTCAGGATTTTCTACATTCAAAATCATGTCATCTGCAAAAAAGAGATAGTTTTGCTTCTTCCTTTCTAAACTGGAAGCCTTTTATTTCTTTTTCTTGCCTAATTACTTTGGCTTGAACTTCTAGCACAATGTTGAATGGGAGTGGGGAGAGTGTACATCCTTGCCTTGTTCCTGGTCTTGGAGCAAAAGTTTCAATCTTTCACCCTTAAGGATGATGTTAGCTGTCAGTTTTTCGTAGATGCCCTTTATCAGGTCAAAGAAGTTTCTATTTATAGTTTGTTGAGTGTTTTTAACATGACAGTGTTGGATTTTATCAAATACTTTTTCTGCGTCTATTGCAATGATCACGATGGCTTTTTTTCTTCTTAATTCTATCAAAATGGTATCTTACATTAATTGATATTCTGATGTTAAACCAACCATGCATTCCTGGGATAAGTCCCACTTGATCATGGTATATAATCCTTTTTATATGATGCTAGATTTGGTTTGCTAGTGTTTTGTTGAGGATTTTGTGTCTATATTCCTAAGTGTCATTTTTCTTGTGATGATGTATTTGTCTGGTTTTGGTATCAAGGTAACAGTGGCCTCATAGAATGAGTTGGGAAGTATTCTCCTAATTTTTATAAGAGTTTATGAAGAGCTGGTATTAAATCTTCAAATGTTGGGTCAAATTGACCTGTGAAGACATCTGGGCCTGGGCTTTCCTTTGTTATAAGTTATTACTAATTCAATCTCTTCATTTGTTAAAGATCTATTCAGATTTTCTAATTTTTTCAGTCAGTTTTGGGAGTTTATAGTTGGTGTCTTTTTGGGAATTTGTCCCCTTCATCTATGTTATCTAATTTCTTGGCATACAATTTGTTATAGACTGAATTGTGTCCCCCCAAAATTCACATGTTGAAGTCCTAATGTCTAGTACCTCAGGATGTGACTGTATTTGAAGACAGGGTCTTTACAGAAGTAATTAAGTTAAAGTGAGGCCATTAGGGTGGGCCCTAATCCAATCTGACTGGAGTCTTTATTAGAAGAGGAGATTAGGACACACAGAGAGACACCAGGGATGTGCATGAAGAGAAAGGCCCAGTGAGGACACAGCGAGAAGGTGGCCATCTACAAGCCCAGGAGAGAGACCGCAGGGGAAACCAAACCTGTCCACACCTTGGTCTGGGACTTCCAGCCTCCAGGGCTGTGAGACAATAAATTTCTGTTGTTTAAGCCACCTGTCTATGATATTTTGCTATGGCAGCCCTAGCATACTAATACACAATTGTTCATAGTGGTCCCTTACAATCCTTGTTATTTCTATAAGGCCCATAGTAATGTCCCCTCTTTCATTGCTGATTTTGGTAATTGGAGTCTTCTTTTTTTTCACTTGGTCAATTTACCTAAAGGTTTGTCAATTTTGTTGATCTTTTCAAAGAAGCAACTTTTGGTTTTGTTGCTATTCTACATTGTTTTTCTGTTCTCTCTGTCACTAATTTCCTCTCTAATCTTTATTATTTCTTCCCTTCTGCTTTCTTCAGGTTTAGTTTGCTCTTCTATTTCCAGTGTCTTAAGATGGAAGGTTAGGTTACTGATTTGAGATCTTTCTTCTTTTTAATATAGATGTTTACAGCTATAAATTTCCTCTAAGGACTGCCTGAGCTGTTTCTTATATGTTTTTGGTATGTTGTGTCTGCATTTTCATTCATCTCAGACTATAATTGTTCATTTTTGCATTCCAACATCATAAAGTATGTGTTCAACAAATATATATTGATTAATAGATAAACAGGCACTATCCCAAGGGGAGTAAAATTCTCTAAAATTCCCCTCTTTCTTATACAATGTCTTACCTTTTCTCATCCTTCCTATACCTTCAAGCGGTGGTTCTCAAACTTGCATCAGCACCACCTGGAGAGCTTGTGAAAACACACAGTGCTGAGCCCCACCCCCAGAGTGTGAGCAGTAGGTCTCTGGTGGGGCCTGAGAATCTGAATTTCTAACAAGCTCCCAGATGATGCTGATGCAGCTGGTCTGGGGACCACGCTTTGAGAACCACTGCTTTAGATGATACTTCTCCCTCTGAATAAAGACCCCTTCTCTCCCCAGCTCTGTCTTTATCCCCAACCCCCCACCTCTCCCCACTTGTCCTAGATAACATCTACTTGTACCTTTCCAGACTGAAATCCAGTGGTTATTTTTTCTGGGAGGCCTTCCCCAACTCAGTCCCATTCACACTGGGACAGCAGCCCCTCCTTTCGCCCCCACAACCAGCCTGTTGGTTCCCACCAGGCGTTATTGTCCTGTGCCCACCACCTGTTTGCCTGCTATCTGCCACGTCGTAGAAACAGACTATATAATGGTCACTGAGGTTGGTTCCCAGACCCATCCATTCCACCCCAGATGAGTGGTCTAAGTCAATCATAGTAATCCCATTTCCTGTGGAACATCGGGCCCAACTCTAGCTAACGAGAAGTGAGAGAGAGCCTGCTGAGAGGTGTCACAGCTGCACAACTCCCTCTCTCCCAAGGCGTTACAGGAGAAGACTGTCTCCTTTCTTCCTCTGGATATTGCCTGGAAGTGAACTCAGAAATGCTGCAGCCATCTGGCCACCTGCCTGAGGATGGATCCAATAAGAACAGTAGAGCTGGGAGAGCCAGCAGATGGAAAGCACCACAGCCTTGAGAACCACGGTGAGTGGATGGTCACATGAGGCCTGTGCCCAGTGGACAATTGGCTTCCTATTATAGGAGAATGATATTTCCTTCCTGTCTCAGCCAGATACAGACAAAAGCATGCTACCTACTAGAGACTGTGAACTCCTCAAATGCAGAAACCATGGCGATGTTTACTCAGCACCCATCACAGCATCTGGGATATAGTGGAGTCTTCTAGACACTTTTTTTAAGATGTCATAAATCACAACGATGCTGCACTAATATCGACATATCCTTATTATCAAGGTTCTACCTCAAGCAGACAAGATCACATTACACACTTCTTCATAATAATCAGTTTCCTTTTATTATTACATCTCCCTAGAAAACCTAATCAACTAGATAGTTCTCAAATCTTATCAGAAGCACTTTTACAAACCATATTTGGGGTGAATTTATTTCCTCTGCAGATGGATCAACTAATCAGTTATGTGTTGAGGACTGTCTGCTCTTAGAGATTATCTCAGTTCTCCACACGCAAGCCCCCTCCCCACCTCTACAATGGGCAGTCTAGTACCGCAGCCAACAGTCCTCTAGAGCCAGAACTGCTCGGGTCTGAAACAGCTCGCCCATTTATCAGCAAGTGTGAGAACTGGCTTCCCTGAGTGTCCGTTTCTTCACCTGTCCGTTGGGATAATAATAATAATTTTATTCATTGGTGGGTTATGAAAATTAAGTGAACGAAAATGAGTACAAAAAACTTAGTGTGAGGCCTGGCACACAGAGTAAGTGCTCAATAAATGGGGTCCATCTGTAGTGTTTTTACCAACCCCCCCAACTGTACCCATCTGTCTTGCCCATGAGCCAAAGAGCCTGTGTGATCCTATGAAATGGGGACTTGATGGGGGGGGGGTGGGAGGAGGCTAAGGGGGAGCTGAAACACAGGAAGATTGGATTCTCACAAAATATAAAAGCCAAGCTTGTGGAACTTGCTACTTATCATCTCAAGAAGGGGACCCCAGTATGTTTCCCCAGTAGTAATTACCAGTAGCCTGAAGGCCTATCTTGGGGGGTAGAGAAAAGTGGCAATGGATCACTTTAAAGTCAATCTAGGGCGAGCAAAACCCCAAGGGCAGAATGAGCAGTTGTAACTTTTTAAAAGGAACAGAGAGCAGGTCCTGCAGCAAAAAGGAAAGTAAGCTCAGGACCGCCACCTGCGCTGTGGGAGGCCCTGAGGCTGAACCTCAGGCGGCCTTGCACGGCTCCCACGTGCCTCCACTCAGCAGCTATCCAGAGAGAGGTAGCATCTTCCACTGCAGTGTTCAAAGACGGATAAGATGTGACCGTTAGCAGTTCATGGTCATGGGCAAGGGGAACGTGCAAATAAAACAACATAATGACTGCGATACTGGAGGAACAGTTCATGTTACGGACACTTAGAAGCAAGACGACTCAAGTATCTAGAGCCAGTCAGGAAAGCATCCCGGAGGGGGCGGGCTGCAGTGGGGTTGTGACGAGCATTGCTGGTTTGTCTCCATATTCCCAGCACGTGGCACGGTAAATGGCTCCAGGAAGATGCTCATATCCACTCGCTTGTTGAATGAATAAGTGAATGGATGAATGGAAGGAATTACTAAAATGAATTATAAAATCTGGACATGAAATTTTTAAAAGAAAATCTATTTCTTCATGATCAGTCTATAGAGGAAGTGCAACTTACTGGTAACCGTATTTTCTAATGAAGAAACATCAGCTGCAATGGTCTTAGCAGCAGCAATCGAGGGCAGAGATAAGAGGCAGCAGATGTGATAACAAAAAGGGGAAAAAAAATTTCTGTGCATCAAAAGGCACAATCAACAGTGAAAAGGCAACCTACAGAATGGGAGAAAACGTTTGCAAATCATATATCTGAAGGGGTTCATGTCCAGAATACACAGAAAAACTCCTACAGGGGCCAGCCCGATGGCACAGCAGTTAAGTGCAGGCTCCGCTGTGGTGGCCCAGGGTTTGCAGCTTCCGGGCGCGCACCAACGCATCACTTGTCAAGCCATGCTGTGGCGGTGTCCCATATAAAGTAGAGGAAGATGGGCATGGATGTTAGCCCAGGGCCAGTCTTCCTCAAGAAAAAAGGGGAGGATTGGCAGCGGATGTTAGCTCAGGGCTAGTCCTCCTCACAAAAAAAAATATATATATAACTCAACAACATAAAAACAACCTCATTAAAAAATCAGCAAAGGACTTAGTTATTTCTTCAAAGAAGATATACATATGGCCAACAAGCACATGAAAAGATGCTCAACACCACTAATCATCAGAGAAATGCAAATCAAAACCACAATGACATATCACCTCACACTCATTAGGATGGCTACCATCAGAAAAACAGAAGATAAATGTTGGCGAGGATGTGGAGAAACTGGAACCCTTGTGCAATGTTGGTGGGAATGTAAAATGGTACATCTGCTGTGGAAAACAGTATTCTGGTTCCTCAAAAAATTTAACATAGAATTACCACACAACCCAAGAATCCCACTTCTGGATAGATACCCAAAAGAACTGAAAGCAGGCTCTCAAAGAGACATTTGCACCCTCATGTTCATTGCAGCATTATTCACAACAGCCAAGAGATGGAAGCAACCCAAATATCCATCAAAGGAGGAATGGATAAGCAAGATGTGTATAAACATACAGTGAAATATTATTCAGCCTTAAAAAGGAAGGAAATCTTGACACACGTTACAACATAGATGAACTTTGAGGACATTATGCTCAGTGAAATAAGCGAGTCATAAAAAGACAAATACTGCAAGAATTCACTTATATGAGATATCTAGAGTAGTAAACTTTGTAGAGACCGAAAGCATGGTGGTTGCCAGGGGCTGGGGGGAGGGGAAAAATGAGGAGCTCTTGTTTAATGGGTACAAAGTTTCAGTACTGCAAGATGAAAAAGTTCTAGAGATGTGTTACACAACGTGCATTCACAACTACTGACTGTACACTTAAAAATGGTTAAGATGGTAAATTTTATGTTTGACCACAATTAAAATTTTTTAAATTACTTTTTAAAGAGAGTAACAAAAAGATGACAGAGGACCTGGGAGTGTGGGAGGTTGTCGCTGGTAGCTGGCACCAACCACAGGCTGTCATCAACAGGGGGACAGCTTTACAGCAGGAGGGGAGGGGCAGAGGGGAGGTGGGGACCCCACCCCCTGCATAAAGAATGTGGGGGTCACCTTGTGCTCCACAGAGCTGCACGAAAGGGCCCACTGGCCCTCAGTGGGAAGAGCATCCTCCAGTGAAAAGATGCGGAGGGTCAGTGTGCAATTGTTAACCTTAAAGTAAAAAGACGCATCACCTTGCAATCTGTGAAAAGGGCGCAGGGAAACACCATACATTAGTCAACCCACTCACCCGGCCTGACCTCAGGCTTTGTTTCCATCTTGTGCCTGGACCCGGGTTGTGATGAGATGCCCCATCCCTGTGCCATCCCCCTCGGGAGAGGGGCCACCCTGGAAACCTGAGACCCTCCTGTCTGGCAAGTTCCCTCTGGGACTAACATTCCCCCTAAATCCCACACCTGCCACATAATTGGTCTCCTAGAACCCCCTCCACTCCCACCCCCAACCCCGCTTTGTGTGTGCTGTCTCTGGCATGGAACACCCTCCCAGCCCCTTATTCCCCATCCTCTGCCCTTTGGCTGAGTGAGTAAATTCCTCCCCATCCACTAAGACCAAGTTGACTGTCTGCTCCTTCAGAAGCTTTCCAACCTGGAACCCACTCACTCCCTTCTTTTTTTCTTTTGATTAGCCCTGAGCTGACATCTTTTGCCAATCCTCCTCTTTTTGCTGAGGAAGACTGGCCCTGGGCTAACATCTGTGCCCATCTTCCTCTACTTTATATGTGGGACGCCCGCCACAGCATGGCTCGATAAGCAGTGCGTATGTCTGCACCCGGGATCCGAACCTGTGAACCCTGGGCCGCCGAAGTGGAATGTGCAGACTTAACCACTACACTACCAGGCCGGCCCCACCCACTCCCTTCTTCATGCCATCTCTGTACAAACAGTGGCACACAAACTCCCACATACCTGCACCTGATTTGAGACTCCCATTCTTCCACAAGCATCTTTAGGATAGGACGGGGCCGCCCACCCTCCAGTCCCAGCACAGCACCAGACACACAGGTATCAGGTCAATACTCTCCAGAAGCGTGTTTTACTTACCAGATTGAACTTCTTCCCCCTGCAGTTGGGTTTGCCCTCCACCCCGGGAAGCACCTTCTAGCCCCTTACAGGCCTGCCTGGCCCAGGGCAACCGAGCCATGCCCAAGGCCTCGCCCACTCCAGCTGAGCCAGGTGCAAGGGTGTCAATTACATAGGCGTTTGTTGCAACCAGAGCCGAGGCCACAGTCCCTGGAAGACAGAGCACCTGGGCACTGGTGCTCCAGGACCAACAGGAGCTGCATCCTGGCTCACTCCTGCCTTGACCCTGTGCTTCAGTTCAAGGTCATTTCGAGGTCATGGTGATACCTGTATCATTCTTCATGTTGACCTGCCGCTGGCAAGCCCAAGCTCACGAAGGGCTAAGTGAAAACCTCCGTCTTGAAAACTGGAGTTTCACCAACATCATCCACAAATCTGCCCGAGACTGTAAGGGCCACCCAAGAAGGAATGACAGGGGCTTGAGAACATTTTGCCACTTCTCTGCCCCACAGCATGACCTTATTGATTCAGCCTATGTACCAGACGTGCACCTTTCCAGCTCCCTGCTCCAATGCCCTCTTTACCTTCACTGGGGCCCCTGACACCCTCACATCTGAGGGCTGGCCTGAGCCCATCCTTCGGGAATTAAGAGGACCCAGTTGAGTACTTCAAGTGGTTCAGCATCAGCCTCCCCTGAGGGAGCTGGGTACGTGGTGACTGAGGAGCCGCAGGAATCACCCAGCTTGTGAGCGCAACTCATCCGTCACTCACAACGAGCTCTGTGACCTTGGGCAAGTTGCTCACCCTCTCAAAGCCTCAGTGTTCTCACGTATAAAATGGAGATAATTTTACTCCGCAGGGTGGCTGTGAGGACTGAATGAAATACTGCCTGGACGTTATTTTGCCTGGACAATCCTAAGCACTCAATAAACGACAGATGCTCTGGCTGTGACGGGATCCTTATCATCATGACAGCCTCTGCTAGTCCTGTTTGGATCTTGGATTCCAGTTCTACTAACTGTCCTTGTGCCATACGAGCCTCCCATTGGACCCCAGTTCCAGTAACTGGATCCCGTGTAAGTCCCAGTACTGAGTCTTACCTGCACAGTTCCAGGGGCCCCTAACACTGGAGCCTGCATCCCTATAAGCTGGTACCAGCTCGCCACCCCTGACTGTTACATGTCCAGGAATTCTGCAGCCAGAAACCACTGGGGGCTCAAAATCAGCAGCAGTGTGAGTACACCAGAGAAAGCAGCAAATCAGAACCTTGCCTTTGTTCCCTTTTTTTTTTTTTTTTCCTTTTTCCTCCAGAGAGCTGATTTGCCAGCATCCCACTTAGTCATCCCAGAGGCGGGAATCCTGCCCTTTGAGGCCCTGCCAGCCCTCCCAGAGATCTGCGTTGCTAACGTGCACGGCCTGCCCGGGCCCCCTGCCCACGTGCAGAGCAGGCACTCATCCGTCCTATCAAACTTTCCAGAGGCTATCATCCACGCAGCGCTGTCTGTGCTGGCCGTGACCATGACCCTGACCCCGCTCCAGGCCGCTCGCCCCAAGCTGGGCTGGCCTCTCCCCCAGCCTTAGCTCCACTCTAACAAAGAGCCTTTTCCAAACACCACAGAGAACACCTTCACCACAAAGCTGATCCAACACGCTGGCTTTGACTCAGGGTCAACACTATGATGTACCCCTAAATGTTGCTGGGCCGGGAATTTTGTCCAAAGTATGCCATTAAGAGGATCCTGGGGTCCTCACTGCAGAAATGTCCTTCTCTGCCGCAGCTGCACATCGAAAATAATCTGCAGGCTCTGGAATAAGCCCTTCCCCCAAAATACGCTGGGAAACATTCTTGAAATGATGGCCTTCTGCCCTACCCCATCCATAAGTGCAGCGCGAGGTAGAAGCGAGGGGCAGACCACACCTGTGAGGCCTCGCCACGTGCGGGATGTAGCGGCCGGGAATGACGCTGAAGACACGGTGGAGATGGTCTTCTGAGGCCTGCTCTCACTGGGAAAGTCAGGGTCCCGAATGACTCGTCCCCCAAGGTCACGGAAGGACAAGGATTTGTGTGTATAAGGCTAACAATGAATTTTAGAGCTGAAAGGACCTTAGAAATCCTTTACAATCAACACTTCCAGAATAGCATGGCAAAGTATACCCAACTATCTGATAGAGCAAAAGAATAAAAAAAAATTTTAAGGGCAAAAACCCACAAGGGCAAAGAGACTAGCAAGGTAGCGACAGAAGGCTAAGGATGATGATATGTACTCTGCAGGATGTTTTAAGCACCAAAGACACAACGTATGTGAGGGGCCCGGCATAAGCGGGTACTTAATAAGCGGTGTTTATCATGACCGCCAATTTTTAATAGTGCAGTCGGAATTAAAGTTTTAGTGCACTCAAAATTAGTCAGTCGTGGGGCCAGCCCGGTGGCACAGCGGTTAGGTGCGCGCACTCCTCTTCGGCAGCCCAGGGTTCGCCGGTTCGGATCCCAGGCGCGCACCGACGCACCTCTTGTCAAGCCGCGCTGTGGCAGCGTCCCACATAAAGTAGAGAAGATGGGCACAGATGTTAGCTCAGGGCCAATCTTCCCCAGCAAAGAAGAGGAGGTTTGGCATCAGATGTTAGCTCAGGGCTGATCTTCCTCAGGAAAAATAAAAATTAGCAGTCACCTTGGTTCTCAAGGAAAAACAGAAATCTTTATTTTTATGTGTGGAAACCCTTACTTAGGAATTGGGGCTGAGTGTGTTGCTGCTTTTTAAGATTTTTTCAGTAATGCCTTTTTTAATGTTTTCACTATGAATGCTCAAAAGATTGTCAGCAAACTTGAGGTCAAACGGCATACTGTGTGGTTTTAAGGTGTGTTAAATTGGGTAAAAATTAAACAGAAAAGGTTGATCTTTCTATAGGGACAAAACAGTCAAAAGTCAGTAAGAGAGGAAAAACAGAAAGCGAAAGAGAAAGTGAAAAACGCCCTACGAAGTGAAAGATGGCCAGGAAAAAGGAAGAGGAGGCTTCTTAATGAACAATGCCGTCCTCCTTAAACACACTTAATTAGACACGCTTGTCTCCAACTCACCCTGCTGCCTGGTTCCTCATTCCCTAACCACAGAGCGAGGAGTTTACATCCTAACGACCTCAGCAGTGGGTAAACCTCCGCCTTCCCCGTCTTAGCCAAGGGACTTGGGGAAGTTTTTCATTTAAAATCACCTAGGCTTCAGTTTTCTTATAATTGCAGATAACGTTTCACAAGACAGTTTTATGGAGAACATAAGAGAATGATGTACAACGTTTTGGCCAGAAAAGTATCCAGTAAGTGTTTGTAACTCATGACACATGATTTCCTTGAATACCTTTATTTGCCCTAAACAGGCTTTTTTGGTTTGTTTGTTAAGTCCTCTTTGAAGCCCAACTTTAGGATAAACTTCCCACTCTAAATATCTCTCTATCCATGAGAAGATACCCCGGATCACTTTCCTATTGGCGTCTCCTTCCCCTCCCCCCTCCCCCCTTCCCTCCCTCCCCCAGGAAGTAAAGGATGGAGCTGGGGGCATGTCAAGTTGAACATGGAGGATGGAGCACACACTTCTCTGGGCCCTCCCCAAAGACCCCACTACACTGAGAGCAAATGGGGGAGGGGGAAAGACCTACAGATGCTGACACTGAAATCTACAGAGAGCCCCCAGTGAAAAGGCATGCCCCTACCCAAACTCCCTGCCTGAAATCTACCCAGGGACAAGCCCACTGGACACAGAGCTTCTCAACAATCTCTTTCATGCCTCCCTCGTAAATACAAATGCACAGCCAAGGTTTATATTAGAACAAGAAAGAAAGAGATCAAAACAAACAGAAGACAAGGAATTCTGCAGAACCAGGGTCAATGCACGCAAAAGTTTCTTAAAAACTATTCTTGATACCTAAGCAGAGAGCAAGGAAAATGCTGATACAAGAGCAGGAGGCTTTTTA